GTGCCTGTGGCTCAAAGGAGTAGGGTGCTGGCCCTATATACCAGAGGTGATGGGTTCAGACTGGTCCCGGCCAATAACTGCAAAAAAATAAAAAAGTAAAAAAAGTAAAAAAAAAAGACAAAGTAAGTTTAGCAAGGATGTGAAAAAATAACCCTCATAGGTTCCTGGCGAGAATGTAAAATGATACAGCCACTTTGGAAAGCAGTTTCACAGTTTTTAAAAAATTAAGCACAAAATTGCTATATAACCCAGCAATTTTACTCCTATGATAAAATGTGTTTACAGAGTTTATTATACAATGATATATCATTTCTATTGCTCTTAGAATTTGATTTTTAGTAGCTGACTTTTCAGTAAGTGTCCAGTGCCCCTAAATAGTTTTTAAAATAAGTTAAAAAATAAATAAAATAACTAAGTTTGAGTTTCTCTTTCCATGTGATTTAGTGAAAAAAATTGTGCCTAATAGTAGTATCCAACATCAAAATGAAAGCTCCAACCTCCAGGTCATCTGTTGTCACCAAAATAAAAGTGAATAATGACGGCAATAATGTTTAAATTTAAAAATCATTCAGACTATCCGAATAAGATGCATAAAATTCAATTGAATTTCAGATTTTGTGTATATTTAACCTAAATAAAATATTCTATAGCCTCAACTTTATTATTAAAATCTGATTTTAATAATTTGTTATTGAAAAGAGAAAAAACAAAGCTTGTAAGGCCAATGATACATTTAAATGTAATGAAAGATTAAAAAGGGATCTATTCCATGGCCAAGTTCCCAAAAAGCAGTGTCTGGAACAGAATGAGCTTTTTCACAAGCTGTTTCAGGCCTTGAGGCTTCACAAACAAGTCTAAAATAAAAACATGAGTTTATTGAAATAAAAATAGAGCCCAGTAAGACTAAGTTCTATTGGCCTGGAGGCATAAGGTCCATCTCTTTTGGGTGGCGCCCGTGGCTCAAGGAGTAGGGTGCTGGCCCCATATACCACAGGTGGTGGGTTCACCTTAAAACATTTATTATTTCTTCCAAATCTTTTAGTGGTTTTAAAAATAGACAATAAATTATTGTTAACTAAAGTCACCCTCCTGTGCTATCAAACACTATAGTTTATTTCTTCTCTCTGACCATAGTTTTGTATCCATTAATCAACTTCTCTTCATCTCTTCCTCCCTGCTAACCTTCCCAGCCTCTGATAATCACGATACTACTCCCTACCTCAATTTTTTTAGCTCCCACATATGAGTGAATATCTTTGGTATTTGCCTTTTTGTGCCTGGCTTATTTCCTTAACATAGTGTTCTCTAGGCACATCCATGTTGCTGCAAATGATAAGATTTCATTCTTTTGTATAACTGAATTGTATTTAATTTTGTATATATACATTCATCCGTTGATAGAAACTTAGGCTGATTCTATATGTTAGCTATTGTGAATAGTGCTGCAATGAACATGGAAGTGCAGATAACCCTTTGACATACTGATTTCTTTTGGATATATACCCTGCAGTAGGATTGCTGGATCAGATTATTTTTCTATTTTTAGTTTTCTGCAGAATAGAATGTTCATACTGTTTTCCATTCCCACCAATAGTGTACTCCAGTTCCCATTTCTCCACATCCTCACCGGGATGTGTCTTTTTTGTCTTGTTGATGATAGCTGTTTTAACTGGCATAAGATGATATCTCATTGTGGTTTTGATTTGCATTTTCCTGAGGATTCGCGACATTGAGCACTTTTTCATATACTTATTGGTCATTTTTATGTCTACTTTTGAGAAATGTCTATTCATACTATTTGCCCATTTGTAAAT